AGTTGATTGTGCTTGACCAGGAGATTTGTGCACTATGGAAGGGATGCTGCAAAAGCATTACTTGCATCGTGTGCCGAAGGAGGGACCACTTTGACAGCAAAAGTATTCCACTCAGAGGGCTCGATGGACTCTGGGACTCTGTTCTCAAGTGTCGTACATAGGCCTTGTGAATGGACATGCATGGACGGACAAGAAAAGGTCAACAGGTCTACAAGGAACAATTAAAAACATTGCAGTATATACATGAAGAAAGACAGGAAAGTTCCGTTAGGAACGCTTGCTCAAACACTTGAAATGCAAAACCATGCACTCCAGAAGTAAAAACCTCACAGCTACTGCATTAGCCTGCACCTCGCTATATCACACACTTTCACACCAGGAGCGCTCGACCTTGCCGCGGGTGAATCTCACCTGGCGATGGGTGAAACGTCACGAGCGGCACTGCGTCATGAGCCATTGGAGGTGCGGAAGAAACACGGTCGTGTAGCAAGATGCCATGCATAAGACTCCATGCAATGGAAAGACCATACGACAGAAAGCTTCGATTGTCTTTTACTATTGCACTATTTATTCATGTTCATTTGCTTTTTTGAATCTTGATTAAAAGCACGTGTGAAGACAGAGAAGAAGGTGGACTTGGGCTTGTGGGCCCCTTGTTTTGATCCTTTAACTTGCAGTGTAGCTTTGTGGTTGTTCGACCTTCGATGCGGAAGCTCGACGGTCGCCGTGCTTTTTTGATCTTTTTTGCTTCAATTTGTTTCTGAGCAATACGGGTGTGGATAAGCTAGACACCCAAGATTTGCTTTTCTTGGCCAATTCGATAAGGGCCCTGATAAGGGTGCAAAATGGCACTTTCAAAAAGGGTTGGAGCCCAAACACCTGGTGTAGATCAACGCTGATTTGATGCCGCCAGGGACCATGAGTCTTGTAGACGTGACCAGCCCGAACCAAGGACGGATTTGAATGCATGCTACTGTAGTGGCACTGTAAAGAAATTGACAAAACACTCCACAGTCTCCTCTGAGAAGCACACCTCAACTACTTGTGCTTGGTTGTGGCGCCGCAATTCATTGAAACAAGTGTGCGCAAAGGTAGTACGTTTGTTCCGCATGTCAGCAGATTCGGCTTCAAAACTTGGGATTTGTGTCTCTCACCATAAAGAAGTGCACTGTGCTATTTGAGCGAGGGGCATGCAATGCAGGAAACGGCCTGCGGCGAAATTGGCCTGCTTAGAGCAGATGGTGAAGAAGCAAAAGATCCTCAGCCATGTCAAGCTAATGCGTGTTTGTTGTTGCTGTCGGGCTTCCAATTATACTCCAAGTTGTCCTAGCTTGGCTCGATAAAGTGGGAACCTGCGCATTTTAGATGCAAGCCTCAACTTGACTTCCCGACACAAAGCAGAGTGGCCGTTATGTTTGTCACATGGTAAGTTTCCGCGGATCCATTGACAAATATGCCAAGCAGCCAAGTCGTTTGAAGGATATCCTTGCTGATTGCCTTTTCAGAAGACATCATGGTTCCCTTTTGTTGAATGATAATCCAGCACATTAGAAAACGTCAATGTGAACGGACGAACATGGGGGCCGCTCTCGGAGTATCCTTCAACATACGTTTCATGCGCGACAACTTCAGGGGCTTTAAACTACAGTATTTGTGTGCATTACCATGTTGGAATTGCCATGGCGTCAGCTTCAAGCAGGCAGGGCAGACAGTGGGACCCCAAGTCCTTACAGCTTCAGGCAGTGAATCCTTACAGTGCCAGGACGGTGCCAACGGTTCACCCGGTTCGCTGCCAACCGTTAGCGCGTTCTCCAGCCACCTGAGGACGTGTGACACAACTCCAACCTCTAACAGTGCAGAGGTTTTCAAGATGACGCCACAGGCTGGAAGTCCAAACAGCTGGATGGTGTCACAGGGCTCCCTAGAAACTGTAAGATGTCAAACGGACCTTCTTTTGCAACCAAAGCGATTCATGAAGTGGTATATGCTGTAGTATACAGTATTTAAGTATATTTAAGTAAGTCAAAAAGTCAATCGAACAAACACCGAGTCACTCTTCATGTTGCAAAGCGTCTTTTTGCCTGCGTACAGACACATATACATAGATACATACAATATATATATATATACACACACACATAGCAACCCTGTTTTATATTTCGAAGCGCCGTTCCGTGCCCATGGGCTTTTGGTTGTATGAAAAGAACCCTGAGAGTACCATGATGCAACCACATTGTTGTTGTGAGCTCATTAATCTCAGAAACGCGAAGCCGGAGTTGATCGAAGTGGCTTTGAATGCAGGCCAGAGTCAGATGGTTGAGAGAGGCATTCAAGGGTGTTGCAGAAGAACGATTTGATTCGTTGGCGCTCCTGGACATTGTCCTGCAGCCAGAGCTTTGGTAGAAAAGAAAGGATTAGTTTTCTGGGAGGGAGAGGGAGAGGGAGAGGGAGAGAAAAGGACACGCGTGAAACCAAAAGAGAGATTTGTTGATCTGTTGTCACTGGCCTCAGCGTGAGCAGCTCACCCTTGGGTGGAGTCAGAACCAAGAAAGGTCATGTTGTGGCCAATGTTCTCCCCCGGGCATTCAAAGAAGGTCATGTTGTTCTTTTCCTCCACTCCCTCCACAGGTCCATGACCCTCCAGTAAAGTGTTCAAGGATACATCCATTGCACCCTGCGCCCAAGATCCATTTTTCATGGGAGGCTCCTGCAATTTTTGCAGCAGGAATTAAGGTCTGCTTCGAAAAGACTTCTTCACTGCGCCCAGGCTCATTGCGATCCAAGACCTGGGAACAGGGTTTTGGAAGGTGAAGTAGGGGCACGCTTTTTCTGTTGGAACATAGTTTTTTCTTAAAGAGGTCTCTCTCGCTCTATCTATCTATCTATATATATTTATCTCCTTTGGGAATGAGACCCTTTGACGTGAACCTATAAAGGAAGATCCTGAAAGAAGGTTCTTTGAGACCCATACCCAAATCACTAATTGCGAGTCCTGAGATAGGTCTTCTTCCTTCCACTGAGGGTCCTGTAGTCATGACTGACTTCAAGCTCCCTTTCTGAGCCGTCTTACCTTTCTTTAGACAGGAGCCAGCATCTCCCACAATGGAACCCCCTTGTTTCCCAGATCTCCGTTTGTGTTTCGATTGTCACTCTCTTTCTTTTCATGTTTTTTCTTTGAGTCTGACTTGCCGTTTTTGCTTTTCTTTTTGTCATCACCACAGAGAGAGAGAGAGAGACACAGACGGGGAGAGGGAGAGAGCCGGGGGAGAGGGAGAGGGAGTGTGATTGTCACATGCCCGGCCTTGTAGACTGCCAAGGAATTCCTCGAGAACGTCACAGATCCTGCAGCGGGCAGAATCTACGGCTTGCTACGCGCAAACCAGCTTAAGCTGAAGGAGGAGAAACCGCCTTCAGGTTCATTTTGGGGCTGTGAAGAGTGCGACGATGAACATCCTCGGGACAAGACAGCCAACAAACATCATATAATTAACAACCCAGCCAAAGCAAAAATGCCAGTTGTTCAAGTAGAGCCTCATCTCATTTGGCTGCGACAGGACCAGGAGCGCCGTCTAGAACCTTTATGCCGGGACCTAATTTGGCACTTGAACTCGCCTGTGGTGTTTTATTTGCATTGCCTCTTTCAAGGTGTTGCTTGTGCCGGAATCTCCGAAGAGGCGCTTGCTCAAATTAGTTCTGTACATTCTTCGTAGTAATTTTTCTTCATAGGAGTTGTTCAGGACTTTTGTGCTTGCAAGGTCCATCCAAACGATATTGTTTGGGGAATAAAGCAGTCTCAGACTACAGGTCTGTGCACAGGACATTGATAACATCGACCTGTTCCAGCCTTGCCTTCACAGTTTTTGAAGGTGCAACAGATGCAAAAAAGAGAAACGGAACTGGCAGAAATGAGGGCCACCATCTTAGCCAGACACGCAAAGACTTGCAAATGATGGGCACCGACAGAATGCACTGTTTTTGTGGAGTATCAAGCGACCTGGACAAAACTTGAACCATGAATCTGCAAATGAATGTTGAGGCCTCCGTTGCTCAAGAAAGGAAAGAACTGGTGGCACTGCAGGTTTCAGCAATGCCGGAGCGTTCTCGCAGTGATGTAGCCGGCTTGCTGCCGCTTTGCTGCTTTGACCAAACCATGACGCAGAACCAATCTAAGTTTGGTTCCAATTTTTGGCTGTCGTGAACTTGGTGCAACTTTCTGCATAAACTGTTCTTTAGCACGTCGTTTTTGCATGCCAACAAACAGAAAATAATGATATGTTGATATTTTTGCTTTGAGTGTGGAATACCTGGACAGGGGAGAGAAGTGCCTCCTCCTCCTCCTCCTGCAGAGGAGCAAGCCGTGCCACAGGCACTTGTGTTTTTGAGTGCTTGTCCATGGAATGCACAGGCGTGTAGCGGTGTAGATACTTGGCCATTGCCCTATTGACGTTCGGAGTTGTCCGACCGCCACGTCGAATCATAGGTGAATGAGCGACAGAGAATGGATGAGCCACGAGTGCGATGGAAGAAGAAGCCCTGAGCTTCGGAATGCCCTTTTCATGAACTAAACATCGAAATGTGAAGTATTTCTCGAAATGTACAAAGTGGACATATTTCTCGACGTGTTTCAAAATGAGACACTCTGCAAGGTTAATTTTTCTTGGGTCCTTGAACTGTCCTCAACAGGCCTTGCAGACTCAGGTCGAATGATTGAAACGTGCTCCAGACAGATAGCCAGTTAAAAAGAATAGAGTGCCACATCATTTTTTGTTGGCATCTCCTGGGAATGCAACATGTTTCCTGGGTTCCATGAGACAGATGCCTCGCAAGATTAGCTGGCCACAATGTTTTCCTGCTGCAACAGCAAAAGTGCTTTTGCAAACATTATGACATTCTGAGTCCTTTACACACATACATAAACATATATATATATATACATACATTTTTTTTTGTTTTTAAACGAAGAGGATTAGATCTAGATCGAGTTGGTGGGTTGAGCGCAGGATCCTCGAGAACAGGAAAGGCGTAGCACACTCTTCGCCAACTTGGCAGTGACCTCAAAGCGTTACGGCGAAATGTCACGTCCGTCAGGTGTTTTGCACAAAGCACTGAACGTGCAAGTTCTTGAACCATTGAAGTGCAAACTAAACCATGGAAGTGTACAGTGCAGGGTACAGTAGCTAATAGCGATGGCCTCCAACCTAATAGCGATGGCCTCCAACCTAATAGCGATGACCTCCAACCTAATAGCGATGGCCTCCAACCTTCTAGCGATGGCCTCCAACCTACTAGCGATGGCCTTCAGAATGTAAGTCTCAAACTTGGTGTAGGGACAGAACAGGTATGCCCACAACTGCGTCTAGTGGTCTAGTGGTACTGCGGCGAATTCACCGATGTGATAGGTGTGAACCCAGCGCTAGCTCACATATGAAGATTCGACCTGCAAATGGCCGATTCGTGTGATCTAACAGTTTGCAACATGCTTGATTGACCTTGATTGTGTTATTGTGTTTATTTACCCAAGGCAGAACCATTGATGCCGGTAGTGGCCAAAACGCTGCGACCGGATGGCATGGGCCTCGGTGCAGAATCGAACAGGTGAGGCTCAACGATTACGGTGTATGTTTTACCTTACTGTATATTACGGATCCTGTTTCTCTTCCGGATCAGGTTTGCCGAGCAAAGATAGGTCGAGAAGGAAACACTTAAGAGCTTTGGACACTAGTGCTTCTCGTTGAATTGCAAGAGTCGGTTGACGCAAATGCAGGTATTGACTTCCTCGAAGAGGGCTTGTACATGTCGGGGGCTGAAGCAAATCTTATTGTTGCAAAGACAGGAAGAGGACGGATGAAATGGACCCAAACCATTGTAAATTGGTGCCCTTCACAGGTTTTGGATCAGACACACTTCGAACTTGGGTTTTCAGTTAACGCAAGTCATGTTGGGAAGGAAGGTGAGAGAACAGAAAGGTGCATGGGTCCGAGCACTTGAAAGGTTTAACATTGTTGTCACAAAGGTGGCAGCAATCAAACCGGCGGCGCAGCTGCTGGGGACGAATAGGTTTGTGGGAAGTATCATGCAAACGACCATGAATCAAATCGAGAGTGGAAAAGCTTGGTCAACAGTTGAAGGTGCAGGTACACAGGGATGATCAGTCCCTGCTTCCCCTTCTTGTCCACAGCTTCATTGCGTGTGGTAGGACAAGAAGGCCACACGCCCCTGCCTGTGTAAAATGGAGAGAGTGGCGGTGAAAGACCCTTTGTCCAGGGTGGGACACACACAGGTCGCCGCATTCGGCGCTTTTTCAAAAACCGGTGGCAGGCGTGGTAGGTATGCCCCTTTTGGACATATGAGCGTCGTTCGAAAACCCACCTCTTCCTTGTTAGTAATCGAATTTCAAAGGCTGATTTCGAGTGTGCTCTCACTGCAGTCGCGAAAGGTTCGCGAAGGTCCTGCGAAAGGTCTGCGCAAGTCATGTTGGTGACCTGGCCACGCTGCAAGAACAATTGCTCTTCAGACTTCCGATTGCTTTTTCCCGGGTTGGGAAAAAGCAAATTGGAAATCTGAACCATTTTGCTTTTTCCCGGCCCGGGAAAAAGCAAATTGGAAGTCTGAGCCTTTTGCTTTTTCCAGGCCTGGGAAAAAGCAAATTGGAAGTCTGAGCAAACTGGCCTGACTGAGCCGTCTCTTGTTCATGGAGGGCTGCGTCCAACCAAAAACACACCAAAGTGAAAATGGCTTGGTTGGAAGTCTTGACCATTTTGCTTTTTCCCAGGCCGGGAAAAAGCAA